GTTATAGTGAGAACTCAACAGGCAAAATCAGAGTGTGTACAGACAGGATTAACAACAGGACTAATTTCTAGGTTGAGCTGACTGCTCAACTTAGAAATTACCGAATAGTGTCACGGGCCGAGGCTATGGATGCCCTATGGTTAGTTTCACTTGTTAAGTCCTCTAAGGAATTATGATTAGTCTTAGCTGCTGGTAGAGCCCAGGGTATAATCCCCAGAGGAGCATAGAAGAAACACCTAGGAAGTATGAAAAGAAAAAACAAATACAGTATTTACAAATAAATTTAAACTTGACAATTCAGCATTCAGTAAACTTCCCGCATATTCTTCAGGTACCTTGACATGCATATTATTATTATTATATCACTAGGATCAGAATTACACAATAAACAAAGCCAAAATATCATAATGTCACACTTTAGTCAGATGATTTCCAAGTTGAGGAGAAAAAACCCAGACAAGATTAGTCACACATAAATATTAGGAAACCTGGACACTATATCCTCACTCAGTAGTTTCTAAGAACAACTCCGTGAACTCCTGCAATTAAACTTAATACAAACTTGTAGCTTACTCTGATATCTGGCGGAGTATACACCTTAACACCTGTGAGACATCTTCCCTGTCCGCCATATTGTCTTCTAGTCCACTGAGGACGCCTACGAACACATTATTTTATTTATTTATATACAAGAAGGTACATTGGGGGTTAGCAGAAAACATAGAAATTAAGTTGAATTTACATTCTTGTAAAGCCACTAGCACGCATAGTGTTTCGGGCATCATTTCTTATTAATCTCTTTAAATACTCCCGTTTAACATTACTCTATTTGTAGGTTATATGACAGTCAAATTTTCCTTTGCAAAATAGTTATACACATTTTACTGGTTAACCATAATTAACACATTACTTACGACACTATATTCATGGGTGGAAGGATATCAGACGGTCTGTCAGCTGCCAACCGTCTCAGGGAATAAATCTCATTTTTTATATAACTGTCACTCTCTCTCTCTCTCTCTCTAGCTAAACTGCTTCATAAACTATTTACACAAAATATTTCATACGACAAATATGGTTTGTAATATACAGAAATAACCAACCTGTAATTTAAATGGCAGGTAGTGCAGACTGCAGCTATTGGTCGAATATACAAAAATGGACTGTTGGACCTCAAAAAACTTACGTTTTGAATATTCATTTTGTAGAAGGCACGTAAAAACAAGTCGACAACCAAACCTAAACTTTCCTAGGCCTAGGATAACGTATATGAACTAAATTAGGCCTATTAGAGGCATATTAGGCCCAGGTTTGCTAATTTAAGCATGTAACAGGTTAGGTTAATATGTGTTTAGTTACTTTTCCACTATTTACCGTGGCTGTTGGAGTATTCCAATAATATAAAACCCAAATGTTTTTGGTTACAAGTATTTCTGTATGTTGGTCCAATAAATATATATATATATATATGTCGTACCTAGTAGCCAGAACTCACTTCTCAGCCTACTATTCAAGGCCCGATTTGCCTAATAAGCCAAGTTTTCCTGAATTAATATATTTACTATAATTTTTTTCTTATGAAATGATAAAGCAACCCTTTTCTCTTTGTATGAGGTCAATTTTTTTTATTGGAGTTAAAATTAACGTAGATATATGACCGAACCTAACCAACCCTACCTAACCTAACCTAACCTATATTTATAGGTAAGGTTAGGTTAGGTAGCCAAAAAAAGCTAGGTTAGGTTAGGTTAGGTAGGTTATGTAGACGAAAAAACATTAATTCATGAAAACTTGGCTTATTAGGCAAATCGGGCCTTGAATAGTAGGCTGAGAAGTGCGTTCTGGCTATTAGGTACGACATATATATATATATATATATATATATATATATATATATATATATATATATATATATATATATATATATATTAAATAGCCTCAAGTGAGTTAGCCAGCACAATTTCAACAGATGTCTTTATGATGGTGCATATATTATAAATTTCCAGTCGGATTCAAGTAATATCGTACACAAGATGATTCGCTAACGGATTTTGAAACCTAACTCAACCAAACTTAACCTAACCAAACCCAGGCAAATTCAGCCTAATTTAAGCTAATACAACCTAGCATAACAATATATACAGTTTTAACAAACAGAAAACGAGTTCATCGAATCATGTCATGTCCGAAACGACCATTATCCCCTTTTCCAGTCAATGGAAAGAAGAATGGGCTAAGAATAGCTTGAACTACCTTTGTGTGTATTTATACCTCAATAAACATATTTCAATGTAAACTTCAAGAAGTTTGTTTTGAATATCGCACAGAAACTAACAGAAAAAGCAGGACGAAATCACAAGGCATCCCATTGCAAGAATACCCTAAATTATTTGAAAGAATTGGTCAGAAATTTAACTCCAACAATGGAACTTTACATGTGGAATCAAAGATTAGAATAATACTAAGAGGAAGCAGGGGTACTTACACAAACATTGATACTACTGGTGCAGTTTTGAGTGAGAAGCTGCGATACCCTACTTCCAGAAGGCAAGGCGCCACTGCTGCTCCAGGCTGGAGTCCTTGGGTTGACTATTCAACTGGGCACATGTACGCTGCGAGGGAACATGCCATAACCATATAACAATGGTGTTGACTAATCTGGTTGAAGTCTAGTGATGTTTACGGTTCTCGCAAAGCATGAGCTTGCATCTCCTTAAAAATTTCGAAAGCATGGCTTTAATAAAAGAGGTTATAATCCAGCCAATGGGTTATAGCGTATTATATCTTAAAATAAAAGTATTTATAGTAACTATTTGGTCGAAAGTACGAACATGTGGTGATGGATCAACATATATTTGTCTTTCATATTATTAAATCTGGAGAAACCAGAAATATTTTAACCGCAATATAAATATTAGGTTCTAACCTAACCTTTCCTAGCAATGCTAGACTTAAAACAGTACATATATAATACTATACTTGGCCTAGGAAAATTTATGTTTGGCTTTTAGATATTATTTTTCCAGATGGAAATTTTCTAACAGCAATGCAAGCAGAATCTAACCTAACCTGTCCTAGGAATCCTAGCCCGAATTCGCGTTATCTTAAACCTAATATTGTACATATATGCGCCATTCTAGACCTAGGAATGTTTCAAAGTTTAGTTTTTAGCTTTATTTTCCTCGGAATCTATAAAATGAAAAGTAGAAAACGTGGACATTTTAGTATTCCAGGGTAAGCTCCCCCTCTCATCAGCTTCACGACTGTATAAGTCAAGAGTATGGAAAGGTTGAGGAACGGCTGCCCAGGCAAAGAAAAATCAATCCGGGAGGAAATGTAAACAGAGATGATTATCTTGATTACGTGGTAGCCACACGCGACCACCCAGAGCCCTCCACACTCACCAACACTGTCAACACTGACACATACCTGCTCAAGACTGACACATACCTGTTCAACACTGATAGACACCTGCTCAACATTGATATACACCTTCGCAATACTGACACGCACCTGGTCAATACTGACACACTCACCGGGTCAATAAATACTAAGACACACCAGGTCAACACTTGACACACATCGGCTCAACATTGACACACACCTGGTTAACAGGTGTGGGCTGCACAATTTGGATAAAGACCCACGAGAATGTGGACTCGAATTTTCCCATTATTATGTAACCCTGTCCTGAAACTGTACCAGAGTCTGGAAGTAAGAGGAGCGGGTTAGGCTTGAGTTTGGTTAGGTTAGGTTAGATCTTTTGGATGTTTGTGTCCACCTTGTCTATTACCCTCAGTATTTTGTATGTTGTGATCATGTCCCCCTTCTGTTTCTTGTCCTCTAGGATAAATGAAATCTAATTACATTATTCTACCCACACAATTTAACCCTGTTAAACTCCGGCATTAGTCTTGTTGCAAACATCTGTACTTTTTAAATTTTGGCTTATTATTCACAGCCACAAGAACCATCTGCGGGAGCATCGTGTTTCCGTTGGCGGGGACAGGAAGCCTATTTGATTACTGAGGTCCCCCTAGCCAACGGTTGTCCTTCCCACTACGGGCTCACCATAGCCCGTGCTGCTTGGAACTTTTTGTTCCAGGTAGCGAATCTTAAACAACAACAACCCAGGATGCAACCCACAACCTGCGACTAACTTCCATATACCTATTTACTACTAGATGAGCCGAGGCGTCAGATGTAAGAGAGCAAAGCTTTCCCAAACGTCTCGCCCTGGCAGGGGAATCGAACTCGGGTCCAATCACCTACACTAACCACTGTGTGTGTGTTGGAGGCGGATACATATCCCCCCCCCCCTCGTGAGTGTTAACTCAGTACATGAGACTGGTAACTCAGTACATACACATGAGGATGAAGGCTATAGCTAGCTTGTTTGCTCTTTGTCATCTTTACTCAGCAACTATATCCTTATCTAACAATGTCTTTCCGGTAATGCTTTGTCAGCAACTTTATTAAAACTGAGGAATAAGTAAAAACTGTGTTTTTCATATTCCTCGTTTTCTTTTATTTGATGATTACTTTAAATCTTTTCATATACTGTATATTCTTACGCATGATTGTAATTGTTCATATACTTAGTTTAGTTTATTTATTATGCACCCCATACCCATCTTGTGGGCGGTAGTGGAAAGGGTTACAGAGGCACATAATGGGCTCAGGGACTGAACCCCACAATTCATTTAGCTAAGCAAGTTACAATCTTGATGAGCTAGTTACAAAATTCAATATAAGTCGTCACATCAACAATGGGTTCGAGATCGACCTCAAGTACAGGTTCTAAATTAAGCAACTGACATATGCGGAGAGCTAGTGGATTTTCCGTTAAATATGTCAAATTCATTTTTCGCCCACAGGATGGGTATGGGGTGCATAATAAATGAACTAAACTAAAACGTTTTTTGTTAAGCGTTGTAGAATTGGATGCTCAATATACTGGTAAATGTCTTAATAATGTTTTCACGCAGCTGGGGATTCCAGAAGTCATCAACACTGCCAATTATTTTAACTGTATATGGTACATATGTGAAGTGATAGTAACATCGCAGGCCTTCTAAAAGTGTACACGCATTGTTCACTAATATATTCCTATCTTAACCTATAGTATCTGTGGAAATGATACAATCACTGGAACCTACCTCAACCCCATCACCACCAAACAAAAATCAGCTATCAAAATGTTATAAATTCTATCTTCAAACAACATACAACCCCTCTGCTGATCATTCCCTAAACACACACATACTCCATAGATACTCTTGTAATCTTTACACTTATAAAGCTTTTCATACTTCTTTACTAACCCTAATTCGAAACTTCATATATGGATGTATAGTAGATCACACGATCATCACATCAGAAATATACATATCTGACATTCACAAAATCCTAATAAATCAAAACAAAAACGTCATGCAAATTAAGGGGACTCAAAATATGAAACTACCCCAATGAAGTAATTAATGAATCAACCTATACTCGAGCTCTTCGGGGGGTTAGAAATAGCCTAAGCTACTCTATCCCTTTGAGATGCATTTTTTCTTGTCTCAATAAACATACTTGAACTTGAACCTATACTCGACTCAAAAGAACAAAGAAACATTTAATTTCCTCGCCATAGAGCCCCCCCACCTTGGGATACTAACCTATGTGACGAAGTACGTAGGTAGCACAGTCATTTCAACCATTTGGACCAGAGTTGGATTTCCGGCGAGGTGAGACGTCTGCAGGGGCCCGCTTCCCTTCAAATAAATGCTCTATTCATCTAGCAGCAACAAACAGGCTCACCATAGCCCGTGCTACTTGCCCCTCTCCTGTGCCAGGTAAGTCCACTACGGGCTCACCATAGCCCGTGCTACTTGGAACTTATGTTCTGAGTAGCTGAATCTAAAACAACATAGCAGCAACCATGAGTGAATTGAATATGCATACATAGTAATAATTCCCCCGACACATTGTGTCGGGTGACAGGAAGCCAGTGTATATTCATACACGTTTGGCTATTATTTATAATAATAAATAAATATAATTTTTTAGCTACGAGTGGGATAATTGATTACTAGTTTTGTTCTCCATTTAAAGATATAATTTTCTTTGAAAAATGGAAGTGTTCGTTTTCTATGGTCTTTCAGGCTAAACTAAGAAATCGTAAACATAGCTTGACTCTCCACCCAAAACCTTAACCATTCACTAACATATATCCACATATATATATATATATATATATATATAAACCTCACCCCATCCCCATAAATATCACCCCTACCATCATCACCCAATCACCCATACCATCATCACCATTAAATTAGCTTAGACAGCAAAAATATAATTATGTTCTAAAAATATATGCATTAAAGCTACCACACATATATATACACTGGATTAAATAGACTGTCCAGTCTGTATAAAGTTCCCGAACGCTAATAACCATCTCCTGGAGGATACATATCACAAGCGCTCAAAAAATAGAAGACCTTTTCAAGTCTGATTAGTGGAGTTGGCCGTAACCTTGAACAGTGTTATATCTGGAGGCGAGACGAGCAATCATGGCTCACACTACATTATATACAGACATTATATATATATATGATATATATACATTATATATACGCCACAGTGGGGAAAAACTGTACCCCTGAGGTACTTAAACAATAATGTGATTTAATAAACTTAGATATAGGGTGGGTCTAAAGATGAGAGCTGTACATACTGTATTGAGAGTGGCTGCATCTACACCTACTTCCTTCCCCAGCACAGCGACTGTGACTCAATGAACCGACGATAATCAACGCTATAAAGCGTATTAGTGTTAATTCTGATATAGCCAACATTATCGGGAAATTTATTTTCTAGACTAAGAATAATATCATGCAGATAAAGTGTCCCAATAAAGCAGGTATAAATGAGTGTGAAATGTGATACCTTCAGTGAAAACTTGCCCTGTGTAATTACATGGTATTCTTAACACCTTCTTTACTGAGAGTTTTAGCTTATTGTAAATATAGTGAATATATCAGATGTGTATAATTATATACATCCCGCAAAAAAATAACAGTAAATGTATCCACTGTATTAAGAGTGAATTATATGAAGTAGTTTAATCTTTGTAACCATACACAGGAATGATTATGGCTTAATGACATTACACGAGTGTCTACCATGCAAGCAAGACCTAAAAATAGGTCTTAATAAGTGGGGAAAATAGAGAGATGTGCTAGCGGGGCTGGGGAGCGGTGCGCCTGGCGCGCCTCGCCTGTCCAGCCGCCGCCGCCACTGTGTACTGCTAGCAGAAAACATTTCGAAGATGCGTCAAGTCAAGTATGGCTGCGCCCATTCTTAAGTGGAAGAGGGTCACTAATACGACGGGCCCGCAGCCCAGGCCGCGGCACGGGCACCGCGCGGTCGCCATCAAGGACCTAATGGTCGTATTTGGTGGCGGGAATGAAGGAATAGTGGACGAATTGCACGTATACAACACTGGTAAGTGATCGCCATCTCCTGCCTCCTCTGTTGCCTTAGTTCTCTCCACATTTCAGTACCACTCACGTCGTGGCGTCGTAGGAGGAGTGGAAAGTGTCGTGGAGGGTTGAGCTGGCCGTAAAGTATGTTGAGACGTCCCCTAGTGGCTGGTCAAGGGCAGGAGTGTGAATGAGAGATTGTTTGTTTTGAAAGTTTCCAAGATGGCCGCCCCCTATGGACTGACGTTGAAGGGGACTAAAGGCAGCTTTTATTTAAAACTCTCTAAGGAAGGCAATTTGACGACAATGCCATGTTATAAGGAAATGTATCTTCTATTTTAAGTCATTGTTGCCATGAGGGTGCGAGCGTTTTTCGTGGAACTATTTGACATTTAGATGGGCTGATTCCGGGCTACTAACATGGCGTCCAGTCTTTGACGTTCTTCTGTTTATGTTGTTCATCCGGGGGCCGCCAGCACCATTATACCCTATTTTGGCTAGAATTGACGCGAGTCTAACTGTGTATACCGCTATACAGCGTCCGAGTATGACATACTGGCGAGCGAGTAGCATATCCTGGACTGTTAGGGAGTTCTAAAGGGGTAAAAGGCGATAGAGTTGAGCGAGGTCGGGGGAGGCGGGAGCGGGGAGGGAAGAGCCTCAGTGATGCTATTCGCAGGGCGGCGGCCGCCTGGAGGGAAGAGCCGCATCTATTTTTCTGGTGGGCGGCGGGGAGGTGGAGGGAAGAGCCCTTTGTCAGCCACTGGCCGCCCACGCCCGCCAACCCCTCCAACACGCCCGCACGCACGCCCGCACGCCCGCAGTGAAAGCACTCAAATGTCAACACTTAATGTGCGGGCGTAATGCATCTCTCTCTTTCTCTCATATCTCTTATATATCTCTCTCTCTCTTATTTATCTCTTATATCTGTCTCTCTCTTATATATCTCTTATCTTTCTCTTATCTTTTTCTCTCTTATCTCTCTTGCATTGCGTTACGTTTCTGCCCGAAACGCTGCGCGTACTGGTGGCTTTACAAGAATATAATTACTATGCTATGTATCCTCACAATCCCAATGTACCTTGTATATATATAAATAAATAAATAACTTGTTGCATCTTGGCGTTATTTTCTTAGCTGTTGTGGTTAGTTTAACTATTGAATGTAAGCAGACGATTATATACATTTGCTGATGCAGTAAATTTCAATGCATTTAATCCAGTTAAAGAAGCTGGATTTCATAGGCTGTATTAATGCAATTATAAATTGCAAAGTTTACATGAAGTTATAAGAGGAATATTGGAAATAAATAATAGGGTTATTCATTTGCTAGTTGTAGATAAAGTGGGCTGCATATCAGTATCTTAATTCTGTGGTTTAATAAATATTTGTTCCTAGCTGTTTTAAATTAATGTTTAGATTTTCAATGTATGTGAATATCAGAAATGATTGGCAGAAAATTTGTGATAAAATGTATTTGCTTAATTACATATTAAGTAGCATTGATCATTTCTTCAAAGAATCTTAGCAGGTCTTGCCATTGGGGCATGACCTTCAAGTAATTGATAATCAAAACTTAGTGTGTGGTGTGTGTGTGTGTATGTACTCATTTAGTTGTACTCAGCTAGATATGCTGGTGGGAGGGTTAGGCTTGGCTCTTTGGTCCTGCCTCTCAACTGTTAATTAAATGGTGTATGATATCTGCATTTGAGACTGTATGGAATCTGCCTCCACCACCTCACTTCCTAATGCATTATTCCATTTATTAATTATTCTGACACTAAAAAACTTTTTTCTAATTGTGTGTGTATTTTACTATGTCTGTAGAATTGAGCTATTAGCTCTTGGACCCTGTCTTTATAACTACTGTAATCTATTTTTTTCCTCTGTCTACTACATATATTTCTAACACACTCACAAACATCCCCAGGAAGCAGTCCATAGCAGCTGCCTAACTCCCATGTACCTATTTACTGCTTGGTGAACAGAGCATCAGGTGAAACAAACTCCGCCCCTTTGTTTTCCCTCGGCTGGGAATTGAAACTGGGCCCTTAACACTACGACCCCTAAGCACTGTCTGCTCACGATATTCTAGTTATTTCTGCTGCAATGCTTATTGGTATTATATTCCTTTTAATTAACTGGTTATTGCATTCTTGGATTAAGTTGCTATTTTTTTCTTATGTTGCTGCAATCTGTTATATAGTGACTTGATCTTAAGCTGCTGCTGATGAAGCTTGAGTAGAAACACAAAATGCGGTAGAGGCAGTGGCAGTAGTGGTTTCAACTTATGTAGAATGTAGTGGTCGTATTTGAAGTACTGTACTTGTACCTGTATTGCTGCTTCAACTTGAACCTCTCCTTCGTTATGTGGCTTGATGTCGAGATGCCAAAGCATCTGAATCCATTTTCTATAGCAAAGGGTTGCTTCAGCGGCATTGTTTGTAGGTCAGCTACAGCATTGGTTGTTGCTTGACTGTTCAAGAATTTTTTTCTGAAACTGCAGGTAGTTTATGGTTTTGGGTCAACACCCAAAATCCTAAACTAACTGCAGTTTCAGAAAAAAAAATTATTGCTATCAACTATTTCCTTGATGGGCTGGTCGGATATCCAGGTGCTGATGTGCCTAATGTATTGAACATTATGAATAATAATGGAAAAGTGTGTCCCTATTTCTACATTGGCAGAATTAACTCAGTTTGATGTATTAAACTGCTAGACTCATGGGAAATTTATATTTGAATATTAGATACTTAAAACCATAGCCTTTTATCTTGGTCATCCACGAACATTCATAAGTGCAAGTGTATACTGCATTGTGATTCTGTCATTTCAAGGAATCTACCATAGCCTAGCCTGGGTAAAAAGGGAGAGAAATTATACATTGTTCAAGAATTATATAAATTTACTAATATAGTACAAAAATATAGGATGAGGTGTTATTACTCCAACAATCTTAATTTGCCTTACTAGGCTGTTGCCCTCGGAAATACCACCGAGATATCACATTGTACAGTTTTACATAATGAGTGATATGTATATCCCTCATTTTTGCCCTCGCTGGCCAAAAAAGATAAAAATATATAAATAAATGCCAAATTGTATAAATCATCACTCAAAATTAATTGTCCAAAAGTTAATAGAATTAGTATGGCAAGAATCTTAACCACACCAAAGTTCCAATTTAGAATTAGATTTAGAAACCTGACTGTACGAACCGAAGGGTCCCGGTAGTACAGTTTTATTCATTCTCGACACACAAGAGAATTCCAGGCGTGACAGAAATAGTTGGGCACATTTCCTTTCATCTAACGCCTCTGTTCACCTAGCAGTAAGTGGGTACTCGGGAGTTAGTCACCTTGTGGGGTTGCATCCTGGGTGGGGTCAGTAAGTTGGCCATTGGGGGGGGGGGGGGCGGGACCTTGATATAAGCCTGACGTGTATGAATACACTCTGGCTTCCTGTCCCCGACACAATGAATTACAGTATGTATATTAAAATTATATATTATCATAAATAATATGTATTAATGCTGTTTCTTTAAGTTAATATTCATATCAACAATCAGAATGCATTCAATTATGCTAGACAAATTGGTACTGTATCACTTCGTAAAATAGCAATAAAAATCAGATAGTGAAACTAGTTTTCATATCTGTTATGAAATGTCACAAACTCGAGTCAATTTTGCAACTGTTGCCCACTTACCTAGGCTGTGAGGGGGGAAGGGGAGATGAAGGATACAGTATCAGCCCCTCTTTTTCTCCTAACCCTCCAACATAATAATAAAAATGTTACCTGCACAGTCTCATGGGTTGTTATTTACTAGGCTCATTGGAAAGATCCTTTTCATTGAGTAGGAATATGTTGTTCCTTTGAGCTACTCCCCTCATCTGCAGATTTTACCGGGTGCAAGTACCTTAACCACTGATGTCGGTAAACTGTCCAGAGAGTAGCACTTTTTCCCTAGAGAAAAAAACAGCACATCTCCAATGTCAACCTAGTCTTCCAGTGGGACAAAATGTGATATTCAGTGAAGAAAATATTCCTACTTTTTTTAACACGAAGATAACTGGAATCATTTGCTTTACTGTAAAAAAGTCACATAACATGTGGAAATCCTTACATTTAATTAAAGAGCACAATAAAATAACTTCAAGAAAAAAGGATTGCTGGACAAAAACTTTTTAAAGTCTGCAAATCACTGATGATACTTAAGTCACGTGTACTCTCAAGGGTGGAATACTGTAGCACATTGACTATTCTATTTGACCTAACACTTTGATCAAAATAACCATAACTGTGTGCAAATTTTTTAATGGGGAATGATTCATTTGCACAGTAGAGTCTGAAACATGTACTGGCATGAAATTTATGATGTCATGCACATTGAGCACACCATGTATAAAATACAATAATTTATTTTCATTAGGTTATGATAGGCTAGGTTACATTAATATTAGGTAGGATTTGGATGGGTTTAATAAGGCGTGTTTAAAACGTAATACAGTAATTATATAAAAGGGGTACGTACGTTTCTCAGGTTTTAGACTACCCGACTTGTATGCGTAATGGAAGTTGAAGAAAATAATAACTAAATCTACCTTGATTATAGTCTGGTAAGGTGCTGAAGTTAGGTGGCAGCATCATCTTGTACTGTTTTAAGGAGAAAGAGGACTCGCATGTCCTCTTGGTATTTTGATTACAGTACTTTGCTTCACTTGCAATTGGTTGATGCATATATTGGGTTAAAAATCATGATTTATTTATAAAAAATATTAAACAGGTACTGAGTACCCTGTATGCTACTAAATATTTATTGGCATCCAGTGGAAAATGTGCACTACACTACTATGTATTTACATTATTTCAACACTATTTAACATTTTAGAACATTATTATGCTTGCAGTATGAATACAGTCACATATGATAATACTGTAATTTTGTTTGCATATAAATATTACATGTATTCTGAAATATTGTATAGTAAAAAAAAAAAAAAAAATTGTATCAGACGCTGG